TTTTTTTAAGCTTTTTTTTTTTAAATTTTATTTTAAACTCATTGTTCGACGTCCACCTAGGACAAGGTATATATTTTTTGGGCTACACTCATATGCTTGGATTATTTTTTTCTAAAAAAAAAAAAAAACAATAAATAGTGTTATGAATGTTATGCATGAAGGTGATTGGAATGTGAAGATTATTAAAAACATTTCCCCTATAGGTTGGATTGTTGCATAACTAATAGAAAAAGATCAATTTGAAAAGTAATCTAGAAAAGCACATTTTGGAAATGAATTTGAATCATATTTATGCTAACATCATATAGGGAAAAGAAAATGTATGTTAGGTTATTCCATTGAATGAAAAATAAATAAAATTCAACATCTTTGGGAATTCGAGTGTTTTCTTCATATGGTCTAAACTCTTTATTTATAACCCTTTTTTTTTCTTTAAAGTATGAACCATGTGTGTTTGAAAAATTTAGTATTTCAATTGTTATTTGATGAGTTAGAGAATAAAAAACGCTTGCACATATTAGTTACTCTTTTGTTATGATGGATTTGTGGTAATAATAATTATCATAACCCAAATTTTTCTTGTTTCGGTTATATTTATTTATTTATTTTATTTTATTTTACTTTACTTTATTTTATTTTTACCTTTGTTAGTTTCATTTAATTTTTAGGATTTTAAAATTTATCTTTTATTTAGAAAAATAAAAAATCATCATAAAAATCAATTTCCTTTTATTTTGCAAAAAAAAAAAAAAAAAAAAGGCATGACATAATTAATCATGGGTATAATTGAATAAAAAAGGAACTATAATTGAAAACAATCAAGATTGAAATTGAAAAATAATTAGTGATGAAATTGAATGAAATAAGGGCATAATTGAATGAAATCGGGATGGAAATTGAAAGGCAATAGTGGTGAAATTGAATTGAAAAGCTAAGATATAATTGCAAGAAAATGGAAACATATAAGGACTAAATTGAAATTGGGGAGCGAACGACATGACCAATTAATTGAACAACTCTGTCGTTTGCTATAAACCAAAGTCAATTTTTTGGTACTATACATCATCGTTCTTAGGGATAAATTCCTCAATGTCCAATTCACTTTTGGGTGCCAATTGTACTAGCCAATTAAGAATCATGCTTGCACATTCCCCTACACCACTCTTGCACTATTCCTACTCCAACCTACACACACTCTGCAATCTTGTTTTCAAGTTTTAGCTTTGTTCATAAGAACCTAACAATTATAGGAGCATATGGATTTAGATTTTAGCATGGAATGGCTTTGATTGATTACGGGTGATCTTAGGGTGGATGATGGATTGAGTTTTGTCTACAAATGGAGTAGCATTGTAAAGAATTAAAGGGATTTGTTTTTATGGGTTTCAAAAGAAAGAACAATAGTTTTGGGTTTAAGAGGGATATTCTAGGTTTTAGGAGAAATGATTTCAGCTTTAGAATAGAGATTCAAGGTTGATAGTTCAAAGAAACATGAAAAAGCAACAATGAGAAAGAGAGAGAAAGGTTTGGGCATGAGAATCCCTCCCGAGCTTTGGAAATCCATCTTACTTTTGGACATTGGGGAATAAAGAGATTTGGGCAACATCAATATGTTTTGCTCATTCATTCCGATTCTAGGTTTCAACATCAACCACCTAAGTTTATCAAGTAAATCATTTCATTCATTCTAATTCAAGTCATTTCTAGCCTTAGGAAGCAATAACCTTATCATTGTAACCTACAAAAACAACTAGAATTTAACAATTTCATTTAGCTCTCTTTGTTTCATGCATTACCATGATTGATAAAGGGGAATAGTTAGGTTTTGGCTTGAACTTGTGTAAGAATTCCCCTCTAGGTTCAATCGAACCATGACTCAGTACAAACACAAGTAGGAAATAAAGGCAGAAGAGGAGGAAAAAGAAAGAAAGAAAAGAAGAGAAAAGGAAAGAAAAAAAGATTGTGGTAAGGAAAGAAGAAGGAAAGAAAAGAAAGGAAAAAAGGGTTGGGCTTAGCTTGGCTTGAGAAAAGGGAAGAAAGAGAGAGAGAAAAAAAAAGGGCTAGGCTTAAGCCTAGTCGGAAAAGGAGAAAGAAAGAAAAAGAGAAAGAGAGATTTGGGTTGGGCTTCATGGGCTTTGGCATGTCTAGTGGGCCTAAGCTAGTGGACCAAAAGTCCAATGGGCCTAAAGGCCTAATAACTTTCAATTATTTTTTTAGGATTTATTTAATTGGTCTTTCTTGCTCAATTAAATCTGAAATTTTAATGTTTCATGTGCTTATTTGTAGCTTAGGTTTATTTTATTTTATTAAGGTTCATTTGCCCATTCATTTTAAGTTTATGTAATTTCATGCCTAGTTATTAATTGCTCTAATTTTTTAAATTTCAGTTTGGTCTATTGTTTAATGCTAATTAAATATGAAATTCTTAGTAAATGATGGTATGCTTGTATATAGGTTATGTATCAAATCCCTTAATTTTTTGAATTATTTTCAGATTTATTTAGCATTAAATATTATTTAATATTATTAGTTTAATTAGAAAATTAATATGCGGATGTCTCCTAAATTTTAGAGACTAATGACGATCCTCCACCACCGTCAAAAAATGAAAAAAAAAAAAAGTCAAATAAAATGACAAAAAAAGAAATGATGAAAAAATATTATTCAAAGAAAAAAAGAAGAAAAAGAAAAGAACTAAAAAAATGTAGAGAGAATGCTAGATTAATTTAACAAGTCTCCTACTAGGGCTGATGTTATTAATTAAATTGGATCAACCACCTTAGTAAATTAGATTGTTCTTCGACACACTCGGTTATGTTGAGATTTAAACTGGATTCGATATTGAATTAACAAAACTCTCAACGACGAAATCCGATGATCAATTCAATATGATGTCACAAATAAAAATAAAAAATTAACTCTCCTATCTAATATGGATTGATGTTATTAATTAAATTGGATCAATCACCTTAGCAAATTAGATTTTTCTCCAATGTACCAGCTATGTCGAGACTTAAATTGGATCCGATGTTGAATTGACTAGACTCCCCATGACTAAATCGATGATCGATTCAATATGATATTATAAATAAAAATAAAAACTTATGGCTTAGGAAATAAACTTGAAAGTTGACTCGGAAATAATTTGACCAAAATAGAATTTTTTAGAAGATAAACTTTCAAAATTAAACCAGATATGATACATTTACTCGGAAAAAGTACCTTTGAGTGATTGATAATTTGATATCTTTCCAAAAGGCATAACCAACTCTTTATCCTAAAGTCTCCGAATCAAGTGTTATTTTTAGGTTTTTTAGTTTATTTAATATCGGATAGTGACTCCAAAACTTGGGTTAATTCACATCCTCAATAAATAATAATAATTTTTATAATTTTCTATAGTCCTCTAAATATCGGATAACGACAATAATAATAATAATAAAAGCTTGATAGTCTTGCATTTATTTTCGGAGGAAAAAAAAGATCTGCGCTCATATTTTTTGAGACGCATGTTTGTGATTCAGCTACGATATTTTGTAACTTTTTAATAACGAGTACACAAATAAAGAAAATGTTTTTTTTTTTATTTTTTTATTTTTTTATTTTTTTTAACAAGCAAAGTTACACACCTTTAACCAAAAAAAATCAATTGTCATTTGTTGTTCATTTATACAGCCATATCTCATTGCAGGCACAAAAATGCGGCTACAATGGCTTCGTGCGCCTATGATGGCGTTTGAAGAAAGTATTCTAGAACTGAGGACCGAGTCATGATAAAATAAAATTAGCAGGAAGTTCTTCTCCTGCAACGCAAGATATCTAATTAGTAAGTTGACTCAAAATCTAATAGCACAATCGGATAAGATTAGACTGGACTTTCCCCTTTCCATTTTTCCAATTGCTTTACCACAACTGGAAGTCATACAAGAAGAAAACTAGATTTGGTTTATGTAATTAATAGCTTTGACTGTTCATATCTCATCACGTGGATTTCATCAATTTCCTGATGATATATATATACAGCTTTGACTGTTTTCAATTTTCCACATATTGAGAATTCCTATCTCTGTTTTGTGATCAAATGGACTTATTATAATTTAGTCCATGGAGTTATCAAAACAAATGAACTAATTTATGTATTGTAAAAAATAAAAAATAATTGTTTGATTAGCGTTCATCATATTTAATTTAGAATTTTTTTTTCAAAAAATTGCTTTCTTTTTTATTAATCTTCCGATATTATCTATTTTTTTTCTTTTCTGTTTCTTAAAATAAAAAATAAATTAAATTAAAAAAAATAAAATGGACAAAAATGATTAAATTGTAAATGAATTTAAAAATACAGAGATTTAAATATATAATTTACAAACCATAAAAAATTAATTAATTGTTTTTGACAAACTAAATTATAATTAATTAACTCGATCAAACTGTCGGCAATGTTGTTATCCACTTCAATTAATTTTCATTGCAAAAGAAATGGTATATATATATATATATATATATATATATATATATATATATATTATAAGTTATTAATGTCTTTACAAATTATTCGTATCTCCGCACATACACATATCACGAAGTTGAACTGGAAGCAACAAGGAAAGCATATACCATGCCAGCTTGGAGTCAGCAACTTGGTCTGTATAATTAATATTGGAAGGACCAATTAACATACATGAAGGAAAGCACATACCTTGCCAGCTTGGAGTCAGCGACTTGGTCTATATAATAATATATGAAGGAAAAATCAACACACATGACCAAAACCACAACATGGCTTCTTCAACAAATTCGAGTAGCACAATAATAACAGCAATTGCAATTATTAATTATTGTTTCAGCTTCGAAAATAAATAAATAATTTATGCTTTTCAACAAAAAAAAAAAAAAAAAAAAACTAAATCCCATTGCACTGTGCTTTTATTTGAAAACATCCATACTATATATATAAATTATGACAAAAGGATACAAATTAAAGAAAGGAATATTCCTTTTTAAGAATGATTAGAGGTAAAGTTGAAGTTGGCACAAGTGGTTTGTCTAAACAACAGTGAAGAGCTGAAACCAAGCCTTGATGTGGCAAGATCAAACTGCAGAAGATTATTCTCCAATTGGTAACCTCCAATTACAATTGAAGTCCTAGGGTTTAAACCTCCGTCCACGAACCCAAGACACAACACATCGCTTTTAACAAACACCATTGAGTTTGCACCAAAAATCCTCCAGAAGACGTTACTGCTCTGCAGGACAAGGTCAATTTGAGGCACCGCCGGTCCAACCCTAGTGCTACCAATGTTGGTTGAGTTAAAGCATGCCCCAAATGGTGCCACTGATGCCAATCTCGGAACATTGGTTAGCTCTTTGACAAAAGTATCAACCACAGCTTTGTAGATTGTTGTTTCCATTACTGTGTATGGATTCACAGTGCTGATCTTTGTTCCTCCAATGCCTTCAGTACTATCAATGGATAGCAATGATGTGTTCAATGGAACAACTTTTCCATTAATCTTGATAGACTTGACTCCAATGAAGTATTCAGAAGAAGGCTCTCCTTCAAAGGAAGCTGACGCTGTACTTACAGGGTTGAGAATTAATGGGGTGTAAATAAGAGACTTAGAGACATCAATACCTGGAAGAAAAACATACGGGCCAGCCCCCAAAAATACCACACCTTTAGCATTTGAAGTTGAAGAAGCCAAGCAAATGGCAAACTTCCTATCAAAGCTAAAAGCAGCAGAGAATTGAGAGGGAAGTGAAATCTTAGTCCTTCCAAGGCCAGCCATGCCCTTGACACCCCTAGCAAGACCTTCTAGGAAACTTGGTCCACTACAAGTGAAGATCAATTTAGTCACAGAAACAACTCTGCCAGGATTTGATCCATCAGTAGATAGGATAGAAACAACATCCTGACCAACCTCACCACTAGTGCCGGTGTGTGTTACGGTGTTGTCAGGGAGGAGGCCACATGTGTTATTGTTGCATCCTGGCTTGGGGATAGAATAGCATTCAGTGATGCAACTCTTTGACCTAGCAAGTGCGCATTGGGCAGATCTGCAACGTACAGGTTTATAAGAAGACGATACATAGCCTTCTTCACAGTCGACCCATTGATATTGGCCACCAAGATCAAGGGTCAACTTTACAGGCACTAAAGGTGTTCTTTGGTTGATTAGGGTCACGTATTGGAGAGTTGATGCATCTTTTGAGACGGGAAGGATTAATGCTTTAGGCCTGAATGATGTTTTTGATAAGGAAGGGACAATAAAGAGGGCAAAAAGGATGCAAAATGAAAGAAGATAATTGTGGGTAAGAGCCATTGTGGTCGATGTACTGAGTGTTGGGTTTACATGCCAAATTATATAGTAGTAGTTCGTCAAGCCAAGGGCAAACTCGAGGAAAGGAAGGACACCACCAGCTTTTTCAATTTTCAAATGGCGAGGTGCTAAATATTGACTCTGACTCTCTTATCTGGATTGGATTAAGGTCTCAATATTTATATCCTCGTTGCTCGATTTTGTAAGTTTTTTATTTTTAATATCATATCCTATACAACTTCATAACTTTTTGCTTGTACGGATTAGACTCCAAAGAAAGATGGGTTGCCTCTTGACTAAAATTGAGGGCCAGTTTCATTTTTGGCGCAGTTATTAGTAAGCACATCTAAAATGTAATGATCTTTTGTATTGTACCCCATGTAGAATGTAATAATAGAAAAAGATTGTAAATATAGGACCACCGGACCATTTTCGAATGTCGACGAACCATCCTTCTGGATTTTATTTTATTTTTTTATTTTTTTATTACTATTTTTTAAAGTTTACAGTCCAAAATTGAGTACATTACAAATTCGTTTCTTTACTTTCAAAAAATAAATTAATTAGTATTTTTTATTTCAATAACTACTTATTTTAATCTTTATATTTTTAATAAAAAAATCCATGACAGCCAATAAAAGGAAAAACCAAATCGAAATAATTTAAATCGAGTTAACCGAAAATAAAAATTTAGTTTTTTAATCGAAAAACAAAACTCTAATTCAGTTTTTGTTTTTAAAAGTTTAATTAACTAAAAGTTGAACCAAAATAATACATAAATGAATTGAAAAACCGAATAATTAATCCTCTGGATAAGATTTTGATGCCTTATTTGGATTTTGAAAAACCAAAATAATATACTTCTAGTATTTTTTTTCTCAAAGCAAGACGATCTTAAATTTATTTGTTGAAAGAAGGTAGTTTTTGTTATATACTATCATACTTGTCTCCCATCATCTTTTATTTAATTAAAATAATTATATAAAATTAATTTTGTTGAAATGCAAAACAAGCTAGTTTAATGAGGCATTAAAGGTTCACATGGTATCAATTTTTGACAAAAACGTTATTGTGATTTCAATTTAAATAATTAAGTACATGTGCTTTTGTTAGATAGTTTAAGCTCATGTGTTCATGGTCAAGTCAATTATTTTTGTTATTTTTTACTTTTTAATGTTAAAAAATATTTCGATTGGATCGATCCGGTAATGAAATTATTTTTTTAAAAAAATTAAATTACAATTGTTGTGCAGTCGCATCAAGGGAGAGGGGAGAAGTTATCCCCTACCCTAAACTCTTATATAATTATGACAAAAAAAGAAAAAAGAAGGGATAACGTGGTCCCTGGCAATTGCATGAGGGGATAAGTTATCCTCCCTTAACTCTTATATAATTATGGCAAGAAAAAGAGAGAAAAAAAAAGGATAAGGCCAGGCCACAGAAAGATACGAGGTTGAGACTATGCAAAAATCCGAAAGGAAAAGAAAAAAAAGCAAAACGGAAATAGAAGTGAGAAATTATTTTTTTTTTTGGCACATACAAAGGATATTTTGTACAAAAGAAAATAGAGTCGGTAAGACTATACTGCAAAAGAAATGAGCTGTTTTTTTTTTCAGCAACCCCACTTAACATTCTGCAGCTACTGCTATTCACTTTCGATCAAATGATTTGGACTGTAAACCACCGAAATCTATCTCCATTGCAGCTTGATAAACCCACTAAACAAGCATAAAAAACAATAAATACAAGTATACAAAACAAAATCCTAAAGATTAAGTAATTAAGAACATTAGATAAATCGAAAAAAAAATTCAAATTTAGTAGTATAGCCACTAGATTGGATGTGAAATTATTTTATTAGGTAAGAAATAGCACTGCAACCGTAGATGATTTCTGTATACGAAGAAAAAAGAAGAAAAGCTCCTACGTACCATGAACTTGTAGAAAATAGAGAAGTAGATAACCTTCTAGCCTGGTTATTGATCAACCGTAAAATTGTATGTACTTCACATTAGTGTAGTTCATCCATAAATTGTTAATTAGATTTATAATTAAATAGAGATTAGTGGTATTCACTGTTTGGGAAGCCAAAGTCCATGGCTTGAAGTACGTAGTTACAAGAAGAGCAACTAAAATAAAAGAGGGGAATGAATTACAAGGAGTCTTTAAGTATAGATTGCAACATCATAGAACAAGATGTTTGTCTGTTCAATAATGATGAACTAAATCCTAACATAGAAGTACCTAAATTAAACTCTAAAAGATTATCCTCTAATTGAAACCCTCCTATTATAATACTGGTCTTGGAGTTGACGCCACCATCCAAGAAACCCAAGCACATAACCTCATCACTCACCGGCACCATTGCATTCCTACCATGGACCCTCCACTTCACCATCTCACTTTGCAAAACTAGATCAACTGTAGGAACCATTGGCCCCAATAAGGTGCTGCCATTTTCTTTCGAGCTAAAACAAAGACCAAATGGGGATACGGGTGCCACAATTGTCATATTGGTAGCAGCCTCCGTATAAGCTTTAATAAAAGTGCTATATATTGAGCTCTCCAGAGTGGTGTAGGGCACAGTTGTGCTTATTTTTGTCCCTTCACCAATACCCTCTTGGCTTAGAGGCAATCGCTTGCCGTTAATTTTGATGGACTTCACGTTGATGGAATATTCTTGGGAGCTGCCACTGCCATCTGGGTTAGTAACTAGAGGGGTGTACACTAGTGACCTTGAAATTTCTGTGCCAAAAATTGAGTCGTAACCAGCCTCATTGCCAAATAAAACGACACCATCTGAAGATGATGATAGGCAGGTTGCAAATTTTCTTTGGAACCCAAATTTTGAAGCAAGTTGTGATGGAAGTGCAATTCGAGTCTTGCCCAGGCCTAACATTCCTTGGGCACCCTTTGCTAGCCTATTTAAAAGAAATTTAGGTGCACAAGATAAGAGAAAGTGATCTACTGTAGTGGCTGGACCTGATTTTGACCCGTCAACAGATCGGATGGTCAAGATGTCTTCTACAAGCTCACCTCTTGTCGCTGACCCTGTGATGCTGTTCTCAGCGGAGAGATCACAAGTAGGCCTAGCGGCAGAGAAGGCACAACTCATGTTGCTCGGGTTTGCTGTTGAGCATTGGATTGAGCAGCTTGGAATCGGACGCCTAGAAGAAGACACATGTCCTGAGGAACAATCAACCCAGAGGGATGGACAGCCTAGATCAAGTACTAACTTGACGGGTTCTTGTGGAGTGCCATGATAAATTGTGGTCAAGTATTGAAAGGTTGCAGGATCTTTGGTTACAGGGAGAAGAACTAGAGACTTAACTGGTAAGTTGGAAATTTGAGCATAAGATGGGTTAAACTTAAAAATGAAGATAAAAGAACACAAGAAGAGAAGCACAAACTGAATGCAAGCCATCATCAAAGGAAACTTGAAAGAAGATCAGAGTTACCTAGCATACCTAGTGGACTGAAAATTTTAGTAGTTTATATGTTAGATGCGGTGGGTCGACGCGGCTGGATTATCTAGCAGCGCAACAGAATGGATAAGTTCTTTGCAATATTTTAATTTTGCTGACTAGATTAGTAGTAATGTCCACTAGCGGGTGTCCGGTGTTTATCTTCTTCGTGTGGGTACGTTCATAATGAGTTCTTTCTATTCTTTTTCTTCTGTTTGTAGACAAAAATCCTCTATGTTGTCCTTTTCAAGGTACAATCTAAGGAGATGCAAAGCAAAATGCAAAAAATTCTGGCCATTAACTGCCAATAGCTATAAATCAATTTTGTTTGAAGGGAAAAACAAATCCTACGATGAGAGAAAGGAATGGAGTAATGTACCACAACTAACTAAAGATAAACAAGACTTTTTTTCTTCTTTCCCCCCCCTCCCCCCCCCCCCCCCTTGATTAGATGATAATAAGCATACTTGAATCATTTTATATAGCAATTGAAATTAAATTTCCTCTCCAAATGATCTTAAAAGCATAGTTTTCATGTCAACATAGGATTCAAATTCAAAAAATCTGTTAAGAGTTTTCTCTTAATAAACTTCTAAGAAGAATTGGGAAGAAGGACAAGAAGAAGAAATAGAGGATTTGAGAGAAGAATTTTGTATTAACTTATTTGTTTACAATTGAAAAATGAATGATAAAAAATCCCTTCCTTGCACATTTATTGTTACTAACTCACGAACCTAACAAACTAATATGTCATCTCATCTAATTAGTTACAGTAACTATTTATTTGTTTAACTAATTGCCATGCAATCTAATAGCTAATTAATATATCCTCTCATCAACCCTAACTAACATATTAAACGTAATAATTCATAACCTTGCCTCTCTCTCAAACGGATCGTTGTCCTTAAAGATCAAAGAAAAAATCTAGAAACCGGAGTTCCAAGTCTTCCAAAACTTTTCATGTATCATACTCAACTAGCATACCAATCTAATGGATAAGACCTATGACTAATGTTTAGTTGTTTTCTTCATAATCTTTGTAGCTAGACAACGTCGAACGAACCTTTTAAAAAATTCTAGGTTTTCAAAGATTTTAGAGATTCGCATCTCATTTGGTATGTTATTTTGGGAATACAAGTTATTATTGAGTTTGAAGTCGTCACCTAGTATTAAAGAAACTAGGAACCCGAAATAGCACTAATATAGATATTTTAAGATAAGGAGTTAGTTATGTTTTGGGAAGACAATGGTCACCCAAGAACGTCTTTTCCGAAGAAAGGTATCATATCTAGTTTAGTCATAAATTCATCTCCGAAAATATTTTCGATTTAAACTCTATTTTTTTGAGCCAATTTAAATGTTGATGACCTATCATTCGGTGAGGAATATTCATCGGTCCCTAAGAATTTAGTAGACTCAACCATTCACCAAATTATTAACTACTAACCTAGTTATTGACATTTTAAGAAAAGCCGTCATCGGTTCCTAAGAATCGGGAGACTTGAAAATTTACCCACCTACTAGCTATTAATTTAATTATTTACATTTCGGGAAAAATAGTTATCGGTCCCTAAGAATTTAGGAGACTCGATAATTCACCCATATATTAACTATTAATCTAATTTTGAAGTGAAATCTCAATAAAATGAATTAACTATTAGTCTTTCCTTTTTTATTTTTTCTCGATAGAGAATTGTCATCGATCTCGAAAAATTAGGAGACTCTATAATTTAGCTATCATTTGGTTATCTAAACTAAGAAAAAAAAATTAAAATATTTTTTATATTTTTTATTTTATATCTTTTCCTATAGAGAATCATCATCGAGTCCCTAAATATTAGGAGACTCGATAATTCATCTATCATTTAATTATCTAAATAAGTTGTGGAATAAAAAAAATAATTAAAGATTTTTTTATTGATAGAGAACCAGTCATCGATCCCTAAAAAAATTTAGAAGGCTCAACATTTCACCTATCATTTGGTTATCTAACTAATTAAAAAAAATTGAAATTAATTAAAGTTCTTTTTTAACAATAAATAAATAAGTAAATAAATATAAGATTAACATAAAAAATTATGAAACTTGACACATATCCTATATATAAGCATACAATCGGTGTATAATTTGGACTAAAAAAATTAAAGGGCAAGCTAAATTCAATTTTTAGACAATTAAAACAATTAAAAACTAGATAGAGAATTAAATAAATTTCAAATAAATAGTAAATGAACTTTAAAAAATAACAAAATTTTAAACACAATCTAAGGATCACCCTATGTAACACATCTAAAAATTTCAAACCCAAAATGAGTAGGACAACCTTGTTAAGATAAATTCTAAAATTAAAAAGAAATTAATTATTTGGAGATATGTGGCTTACCCTTTTTTTTTAGGCCAACCAAAACCTAGCCTTGGACAAAAAGAAAAAAAATCCACTACTATGTAGATCCAAGACAACGACCGGAGGCTTAAAACCCACACAACGAGCCCACATGCCTTTTTGTTTTTTCTTGTTTTTTAATTTCTTTTACTCCAAATCATAGCCCGGGGTCACATGTCTCTTTTCCTCTTTACATGTTAGTGACATTGCAACATGAATACCATCCCCTATAACACCATCATCACATCTATTTCTCTTACGAAGACAACCATGGATAGGAAACAAAAACAAGAGACTAGTCTAATTTAAAGCTTCGGATCTTTAATGATATCAATGATGAAGTCAATGTCTTTTGGTCTCTATAGCCGATTCTAAAGATATCCAAAATTATATTTGATAGTTCCAACAAATACGGAACAAATAATGGTGAAGAAGTTACATGGTAAATTCGGTTCAGCGAAGTGACGAATGAAATTGAGTTTGAAACCAAGAACGAACATAGTTGTTGTTATGACATATTAGAGCTTAGCTCTGAATGAGGAGTGAATACCGTCACTTTCCTTTTTATATTTTTTTTCTTTCTTTTCTATTACTCTCTATTTTTTTTTATCATTTTTTTCTTTTTCTCTTTGTTTTTTTCTTTACTTGTTTTTTTTTTTCAGGTTACCCCTCCTCTCTTAGCTTGTTGCTCTCTGTTTTTCTCTCTTTTTTGTGTTTTCTTCTTCTTTTTTCGTGTTCCTTGTCCCTTTGTAGCCCTAAATTTTACTTTTTATACTAGTCTCTACTCTTGATCATAGCCTTCCCTTTTATTCTCTCATTTTTTTTCCCTTTGATCCTACTCGGTACAAGTGACGGTTATCAATTTTTTTTTATTTTCCATACTCTTCTTATTGCAGCATGACTTGTGGCTCGGGTTGGGAGAAGGAGGATCGAGCTAACGATCTAAAAAAAAATTTAGGGTAAAGAAACCAAGGTATTTTGTTACAATTATAAAAATTCCCTTGTATGCCACTTGTTCTTTCGTTAAAGAAGGAAGAGAAACAATGGTTTATACTCCTTAATTCACTCAAACAGACGCCGTCCATGGTAAGCTAGCCAAGTTCGTCCCGTCATCCGTGGTTAGCTTTCAAAATAGTCCTTATTTGTTTTGATTCTTCTTCAATTGAGCCCTTCAAACTAATTATTTTAGTCCCTTTACTTGCAATTTGGTTTTAATCCCTCCTTAATTTCTTTCAATAGTTTTCCTCATCTTCTAGTATTTGTAAATTGACCCATAATACTTTTAAAATAAATCATAATTGAATCCTTAAAAAGCAAAATTGATCAATTTCTTTCTCTCTCTCTTTTTTTGTCATCATTTTTTCTTTTTTCTTTTTTTGTATTTTGAATTTTATGTGTGTATATATATATATATATATATTTTGTATTTTGTTTGCTTTCTATTTTTTTAGTTTTTGTAGTAAATTATTAAATGAAGTAAAATGAGATAAAAATGAAATAAAAGAAAGTTAGAAACAAATAAAATAACCAAAAATATGAAAAAAATTTGGGTTATGATAGTTGCCCTCTCTTTACAATGCTTATGGCACAAAGTCAAACGAAAAGTATATTTTTCAATAACTTTGTATATTAAGCTTGTAAAGAAATTCTTTTTCTTTTTTTCTTTTTTGCTCTTTTGTTTTGTTTTGTTTTTTGTTTTTTGTTTTTTAGATTGATTTGGTTGTTCTTGGCAACCTTTCTTGAAAAAACAAATGTGATAGGATGACTTTGTTATAAAGGGTGACCTACCCTAAAAATTAAATACACTATGCATGAAAAAGCAAATATGCAATACATGGTTATGTGGTGAAGGCGATCTTCCTTGAAAAAGTAAATATATAGTATGTGCCCATGTTATAAAGACGGTCTACCTTGAAAAATTAAATATGCAATACAAGACTATGTTGTAATGACAATTTGCCTTGAAAAATTAAATATGTCGTACAAGACCATGTTATAAAGATGGTCTATCTTGAAAAATTAAATATGCATTATAAGACTATGTTGTAAAGGTGATCGTCTTAAAAAATTAAATATGCAGTACAAGGCTATGTTGTAAAGGCGACACTGCCTTAGAAAATTAAATATACGATACATGACCATGTTGTAAAGGTGGTTTGCCTTGAAAAAATAAATATGTAGTACGTGGCCATTTGTAAAGGCGGTCTATCTTGAAAAATTAAATATGTAGCACGTGATTATGTTGTAAAGGTGGTTTGTCATAGAAAAGTATATATGTAGTACATGGCAATATTTGTAAATGCGACCTATCTTGAAAAATTAAATATGCGGTATGTGATCATATTGTAAAGGCGACTGTCCTAAAAAATTAAGTATTCGGTGCATGAACGAGCTCAAAAAACGAACCTTTAACAAGTGATCCGATCGAAAAAGATATACGAACTACTTTGGATGATGTTTTGCTTTTTTGAAAAATGTGGTCGAGAAACGAACCTTTAACAAGTGATTCGATCGAAAAAGATATATGAATCACTTTAGGAGATTTTTTTCCTTTTTGAAAAATAAAGTCAAAGAAACGAA